ACATTATGGACATGATGGCCTAAAGCAACATGATGCAGTGAGCATGGTTGCCAAGCAATAGATCAACAAAGTGAAGATTGATTACCACATATCCAATGCACAAATAAGCATAAGGAAATTAATAACAGTAAAGAATAGAATCCAGGCAGACTCAGCCACCCCATGTGTGAGTAGTGTGTAACAAAAAAAGAAAGAAAAACAAGTGGAAAATTTGAAGATACTCAAGCAGTACCAGAGTCCTCGGAGTTCCCAGAGGAACCAACAATATACTAAATCTGGTCCACAGTACCATAGAGTGCAAACATCCATAAGTGCTGAAACAAACTGTAAATACAACTATACAAACATGATATTTTTTACTAAATAAGCAACTCTGGTATATCATGCACAATAACGAAAAAATTGGCAACATATAAATATAAGCAGATACTGTGCTAAATCACTACCAATAAATAAACAGACACATTCCATGTTAGACTCTGAGCAGAATTGCTCAAACAATTTCTTTTTGTGTAGACCTTGCTGAAGAATTAACTGACAGTGAGAGCAGGAGAGACCTCCTACAGGTATTTCTCTTAATCGATTCAGACACCGACATGCTGGCAATAAAGTATGTCGGTGTTATGAATAGATCATGAAGGAGGTTTACCTTACATGAGTAAGTGTCTCAAAGCAGGACAAATCAAAACAGAGCACAGGCTTAATAAAGGCAGACTGAAGGTTGGTGGTACAATAGTGTAACACCCATAAAGGTGCAGACTTGATGGAGTTGTACCAGAGGGGAAATAAGTTAATATCTAAAAATTATGTATTGCTATGTTAAATATTAATTTCTATGTTAAATGATATATCAATAAAAGCTATGGTGGAACTTCAGTTATAGTGAACCTGTCATGGCAAGTTCACTTTAAATGGAACTCATGTTTTCATTAGTAAATACCTTTTATTTTTTAATTTCAAAGCATAGCTTATAATACTGCAAAGGAAACTAACTGTTGCCAGAGAAAGACCGCAGCTAGGGATAACTCAGTGACAGCAAATTAAGCCAAGCTTTTAACCAAATGACTAAAAGACAGCAATTTAGAAACTATGTTTCATTCCAACCCTTCATTTAATTTTGGAAGTGGTAATGCACATAGTATATTGATTTTTTAAGTATGTAATTTTTTTTAATATATGCCACAATAATAACCATAAAAAACTTGTGAGTAAAGCAAGGTGCGTATATCTCTTGAAGTGTGTAAAACCAGTCAGCTACATTTAGAAATAAATGTGCAATACAAACACACAAAATAAAAAAAGTTTGATGTGCATAATATTAAAATAATAAAATAATAAAAGTGTATATATTATCAAAAGTATCACTCAATTCTTACTGTAACAAACAAAAATAATAGTTATAGAGCATACCTGCAAAAAACAAACCAAAAAAGCATGCATAATAGTGCAGATAAACCCTTAAATCACAAATGAAATCCTTGTGTAGAAAATACCCCATAGGATTAACATTTTTTTTCAGAGCCACACAATACCTGCTTTGTCCAACTAGATATAGCGGAGAGGGAAAACTCCCAACAGAGTTTCAGGCCTTATTCAAAACTCTGCATATATGGAAAGAAAACAGGATTTGAAATGTGTAGGATAGAAACATAGACTGTGACGGCAGATAAGAACCATTCAGCCCATCTATTCTGCCCAATATTTTGAAATACTTTTAATGAGTCCCTGGCCTTATCTTAAGTCTAGGATAGCCATATGCATGCTTAAACTCCCTCACTGTGTTAACTTCTACCACTTCAGCTGGAAGACTATTCCATGCATCCACTACCCTCTCAGTAAAGTAATTGTAGCGGATGGCACCAGGCGACCCTACAAAAATACTGTATAAAGCTGCATCCGTGTATCTGCTGTATTTTCTGTGTATTGAAAAAGAATTGTATTCCTCTGATTGTTCGGTAGTTTCATTCCCTTAGTTTATTCGAATGAAACTACCGAACAACCAGACCTCCCTGTGTGAAGTGTGTCCTCAATTACCCGTTGCAACATTGTTGCGAACGGGTAATTGAACAGTAAGTAGCCGTCCTTTGTTCTCGGGGGTGGCCGCCATTCGACAAACGAACACGTGGCGGCGGCCATTTTAAAACTCCCGAACAGCGGTGTTTTGCCGTCGAGTGTCTGGAACTAAAATCGGACACTCGAGTAGGCGAACACCGCTGAGACCTCCACAGCCCTGGTCCGTTCGGTTCCAAACTACCGAACGGCCCCTCGTTCGGTAATATAGAGAATACCGAACGAGGGGATTCAGGCGAACCCTCCCTAGCCTCTATAGCTAGAGGCTTTCGTGTATTTTATTCCCTTATGCCAGGACCGACCGCAAGGCCCATTCACATGGAACCGAATTCGGCTATCTCTGTTCGTGCGGTCGGTCATTTTATTCCCTCCATACTTTTCCCGAACCCCTGGTCCGATCTGGGTGATTTTTGGATATGTTGTTCACCCAGATCAGGGCTACCCGGGGATGTATGATTTAAAGGGGTACCCCTACGTTTAGGGGTACATCCAGAAATGGGGGGAATTGGTGTGCTGGCTAAGGGGATTATGATGCTGGCTGAGGGGAGGGGATGTGTGGGAGGTTACCAGGACAGGATTGGCTACTGTAATAATTACTGTAAATCCCTCCCTTGCATGGGAGCATGCTTTATAAGGAGACTGTGATTAAAGGCTTGTCAGTTATGCTCCTGAAACTGTGTGTCGTCCAGTTATTGGGATTGCTGTTGGGATACTGCTGTATTTTACCTGCTGGAAACCCTGCCTTTGGATTTACTATTTACTTGTTCCTGAGTCTCACTTGGATTATAAGCGGAGATAACCTGGGTACTATTGCATCTCTGCTACAGTAATACTTCCTGATATTTTTAAACCTGTTTTAAGTATATACAGTTATATACTTAAAACTCATATTTATATAGTAAAAACACTTATTTTGTATCCAAAGATAATTGGCATATAAAAACAGGGCTTTGAAAGGTCTACCAAATCGTGTATGTGGTACACCACAATACTTAAACTCTCTGTCCTCTGATCTCAGGATATGCTCCTTCCCTTTTGATGGCTCAAAAGAATGTGTTTCACTCTGAACACATGTCATTCTGAGTGAAATGAGTTTCATTAGACACCATCTTGTTTCATCCACTTTACGTTATATAGTATGTTTGGCCATACTTCTCTCTAATTGGTCGGGCAGTTCTTTCAATCAAGTTATATCGAATACAGAGAAACATTCTATGATATATGTATAAATGAAAAGGTTATTAACAAACTAAACAAAAAGGATACATAAAAACAAGAAACATTCTAATAACCCTCCCGAATGGAGTAGACGGGGAGACATCCACCAAACGTCTCAAAAGCCCATCCCTCCTAAAAAGGATGGATGTGGCTTTAATGTCTGAAACAGAAATAAATAATTAGCCCAAAACAGACAGAAAATCAGAGAGCAGCACACAAAATAATGATAATACAAAAAATGTATATAAAACTGTAAGATAATCTAAAAATTAGCTTTATTTCAAAATCTATATCAATAACAATAAGAGATGGTTCTAAAAAATTTTTTCAAAAAGGGGAAAATATTAAAATGCACTAATATATTACCTAAAAACCCCCCACATAAATAAAAAAAACTGTTAGAATCTGTAAGCTTTTAAGGTGCTATATATATATATATATATATATATATATATATATATATATAAAACCAAAGACAAAAGGGCACACCTTCTATCCAAATTGCAACTAGTGCCATAAACCAATGATATACACATGTCTCTGTGCTTAACCACAATGGAACAAACTGTCAGGATCGTATCTTGACAGCTATGTTTTAACTTCCTGTTCCTTTAAAAAGAAGTTCCAGCTCTCAACCTCTAGTGGCCTCGTTAGCCACTAGTCACCTCAGTCCTCACTTGCCTAGGACTAATTACTTGCTTCAGCAACATAAGGCTACACCCTGCTCACAACAGGGCCTTTATATTGAAGTTGGTGATCTACCTGAAAGACTTCAGTTCCTGGCTCCTGTGAACCTGATCCAAACACTTCTACCCTGCTCCATACCAACTTGCTCCAGATTTACCTTCTACCCTGCTCCATACCAACCTGCTCCACTCTCACGTATGATTTTGAGCTCTGCCTCTATTACCAGCCTTCCTGTATTACAAACATGCCTCTGTTAACAGCTTTCCTGTGTTACAAACCTGCCTCCGTTATCAGCCTTCTACTGTTACCAGCCTGCCTCTGTAACCAGCCTGCCGTTGATACCAACCTGCCTTTGTTACAACCCTACCCAGAGATCACAGACTCTCTTTATCATTTTGCAGGTATCCTGTTTTGTGGCATATAGTCTAAAGTCTGTTTTTCCTCAATTTGCATAATATGTCTAAAAGCACAAATAAAGCCTCAAATACCAACCCTATCTGACCTGCATATAATCATGACAGACTGTAAAGGCCTTAAAACAGAGACTCCAGGGTTAACAACTGTTCTGACAATCATTGCTGAAGGCCTCTTAGAACTCTGCAAATCTATTTCTTTCTTGCTGTAATCAAGCTCCTACATAACACTTGAGAAAAAGACTGAGACTGTCTTACCTTCCAGGAAAAGCAGAAAACGAGAGCCGTTAACAAAGGAAGAAATACAAAAGAGATGACAAGAGGATGCATGCTTTTATTGTGGTGAAAAAGGGCACAGAATCTCGTTATGTCCAAGAAAACCTCCTAAACCTACTGTAACCACTGCACCTCAGAAACAGACCAAACAAACTCTCCTGTTAACAAAGACCATAACCACATTTCTGTTCCTCAGAAAAAAACTTATACCTACACATCACTCCTCAGACGACTCCCTAAAATTATGTGAATGATGTAACCCAAGCAGACTCACCTTCTTGTCCTCCCTCAGATGATTCCCAAAAATCTCATGATTCACTTGACGGATCAGTGGAGATGGACTGTGGTGCTCCGCCCTCAGAAGACAGGTGTTCAGAGGATGAAGTACTATATGAATGTCCTGAACTTAAGGCAGCTACAATGACTACCCACTATTCTTCAGACAGCTCCCTATCTTCTTACCTGGTAGATGAAAATTATGTATATGATGGACTACCCTCTGACAAAGAAGAGACTAGGGAAGAACCTTTCATGGAAAGACTGATGGTGACTACTATGACTACGACTCCCATCATCCAATCCGCAAAGAAGAATACTGAAAAACCTCCATTTGGTCTTGAAAAAGCCAGTGATGGTACTCTCTTGACAAAAAGAGAAATCCGGGATTATGAAACCCTCCTGAAATCAATGGGGTATGTGAATGGAAAACCCCCTAAGAACAATTCTAATCAAGTCTCAACCTGCTTTTCCTCCCAACCTGTAACCTTAGGTACACTACGTACCCTGAAAAAACCTTCTGAATCTCAGACTCTCAATTCTGGGTTAATGAAGAAGAATAATGAACCAATCTCTACACTACGGATAAAAGAAAAAAGTTTAACTAAAGAAATTCCTCCTAAGTGTGTTAAAGCCTCAAATGGTACAACTGTGCGTCTAAAATATCTCAATATGTTTGAGCAGATGCTTAAAGACAAGGAAAATAGAAAATCCAAGAGAAAGAAATGATTTTGGTTTCTGTTTATTGTGATTTGTACTTTTCTTCATTTGACACCCTTTTGGACCCAATCCTGGTCCTTTCTCAAAAATAAAACAATTATAAAACATGTTACATCTTAAAATCAACATTCAACATTCAAATCAAAGGGGTATGTCATCTGTAACTTAAAATGTCATCCTATTTCTTGTTGGACAAGTTTTTAATAATATTTTTCACTCTCAAATTTGTATTAACCTTTTCACAGCCCAAGAATTTTAATTCTTTCAAATTTATGTGTTTTTCTAAAAACAAATTGTGGAGAGGGGATGTTCCTCTATTCGTATGTGAAGACATCAACTGCTTCTGCATATTGAAGAATGGATAAAATGTAAATTACGTTTTTAGTATAACAGGTAAATAAGTTGCTTAATTTGGAATTGTCTCTATGCTCTAAAACTCAAATTCCATAAAAGTAGCTTTTGTCTTCCTGTTTCTCTACATGCAAGACAGTAACCACATTGATAAAAAAAAAAATAATAATAATAAAATAAATGTATTTCTTTATGTTTATAAAAAAGTACTACTAACTAGCTTAGATTTAATATCAGCAACTCCTCTATAGCTTATTTTAGGATGTTTTAACTGTATTATTTAAAATAGGATCTTCAGATAAAATGAACCAGTATTTCTTTATAATTTCTCTTAAATTATTGCTATTGCCAGAGTAATTACAAATTAATATAGGACATTCCTCACTAACTTCTATATTCAGATTTTTTTGTTTTCTATTGTTATTTAAAATATCCTTCCAGTTTATGAGTTTTACTTCTTTTTATTAAATATTTTGATCATGCTACTTCTCTAAAAAAAAAAATCATCTTATCTTTTCAGCTGGGATTTTATACATTTGATCTTCAGAACAGTTGCTTTTTAACCTCAACTGGAATATTTTTAACCAAGGTTTATGGTGACAGCTATCATGTAAAATATTGCTGTTCACATCTATTTTTTTTTTTTAAATATTGACTTGTTTCTATATGTCTATATTTTTAATATGTATGCTTATATCCAAAAAGGTGACATTTTTCACTATAAACAATGGATAGTTTTATGTCACAATCATTGTCATTGAGAACCCTTAAAAGGCCTCTAAATCTTCTCTAGTGCCTCTCCAAATCCAAAAACAGGTCATCTATGTAATGTCCAAGTATTACATCCAGCCATGTCCATCATGCACATATTTGGATTCCCAGTATGCCATGAAAAGATTAGCATAGCTGGGTGCAAACTTAGTCCTCATCACTATTCCAAGGATTTATTGGAATAACTGGCCATCAAAACTAAAAAAAATGTTATGTAAACTTAGTGAGATGCCGTTTAAAATAAAAAAAATCTGCCTGAAATTTGAAAAGTTCAGATGAATTTAAAAAAGTAAGAAGTTGCTTGATTACCCTTTCTGTGGTGAATGATGGACTAGAGTAACTAGCATGTCTCTCTTACCACTCTGTCGATTCTAAAATGTGTGATAAATGTGCTGTATCTATCAAATATGACAGTCTTTGTTTTACCAGAGCTTGTAGGAAAAAATGTATATACTCTGATAAGGGAACTGATATGAAATCTATGCCTGAAATAAAAAGCTTTCCTAGTAGTTTTATCAGATATTTACCAAGTTTAAGAATAATTTAGAGATATTATTTTTTATATTTGAAGTTGGATTTTCTTTAAGTTTCTTTCTAAGTTGTTATATTGTACAACATCTTTAAAATATCTGCCCTATAATCTTCCTTATTGAACCTCTTAAGGGCACAGCTTTAGAAACCTGTCTTGCAATTTTTGCTGTTTGTGTTCAACTGCAATTTGCATTCTTCTCATTTATTACGCCAATACATAGTATATACCAATTTTTAACCCCTTCATGATGGAGTCAATAGTACACGTTCTGATCAAAACAAAACGTAAACAAAAACTGGAATATGTCTGTTCAACCGTAATTCACCGCTGTCACATTATATATCATTTTGTTCAGGAGAAACAGGGCTTTCATTTATCATTAACTATTCATATATGGAACATAATTTATTATAACTAAAATAAAAAAAAATGTGAGAAAATAAGATTATTTTTTTTTAATTTCCATCCAACATTTTAGCTGTTAATGTCATAATATTGTTAGGTTTTACTGCAACAAAAAAGGCACATATTTGTAATCGGCGATGTCTCACGAGTACAACAGTACCCCCCATTAACAGGTTTTATGGTGTTTTGGAAAGTTACAGGGTCAAATATAGAACGTTCCATTTTCAAATTGAAATTTGCCAGATTAGTAATGTTACCTTTGAGACGGTGTGGTAGCCCAGGAATGAGAATTACCCCCATAATGGTATACCATTTGAAAAAGTAGACAACCCAAGGTATTGAAAGTGGTGTATGTTTAGTCTTTTTTAGTAGCCACTTAGTCACAAACACTGGCTAAAGTTAGCGTTCATATTTGTTTTTGTGTGAAAAAAAGCAAAAAAATAATATTTGACTAAGTGGCTACTAAGAAAGACTGGACATACCCCACTTAAAATACCTTGGGTTGTCTACTTTTGCAAATAGTATGCCATCATGGGGGTAATTCTCATTCCTGGGCTACCATACGCTCTCAAAGGCAACATAACCAATCTGGCAAATTTCAATGTAAAAAAAAATGAAATGCAAGCCTTATATGTGACTCTCTAGCTTTCCAAAACACCATAAAACCTGTACATGGGGGGTACTGTTATTCTCGGGAGACTTCACTAAACACAAATATTAGTGTTTTAAAACATTAAAACATATTACAACAATAATATAGTCCATAAAAGTGCCGTTCGTTTGTAAAAAATGCAGAAAAACTTCACTTTTACTTAAAATATCATCGTTGTAATACAATTTACCAGTTTGAAACACTAATATTTGAGTTCAGCGAAAGTCTCCCGAGTAAAACAGTACCCCCTATGTACAGGGTTTTTGGTGTCTTGGAGAGTTACAGGGTCAAATATAGTGCTTGCGATTAAATTCTCTGCACTTTCTCCCGGTGTTGTCAGGCATGTCAATCAAATTTTAATTAATCAAATCACTTAATTATGTTAAAAGATTACTTAAATACACACATAGAATTTTAATAAATATGCATTTATAGGTATTTAAATTCTACGTGTATACTAATGTAATCTTTTATGTAATTATATGAATTTATCTCTCTTTCTCTCTCTCTCTCTCTCTCTCTCTATATATATATATATATATATATATATATATATATTTGCGGTTATTTGTATTTTTTATATAGATAGAGATATATAGAATGTCATTCTAAGTGTATTTTGTTACCAGGGCTCAAAGCCGTTACGGCGTTCTATGCTGCCGCAACGGCTTTAAAGCCCACTTATTGCAGGACAGCATAGAACGCCGTAACAGCGTTAAGGGGTTAAAGGACAGAAAGTTGTCCTTTAGATTTGACATATAAATTAGCATTTATTTTTTTCACGGTATTGGCAATAATAATGTGTACATAATAAGTGCAACTTAAAAAAAATAATTCAAAATAAATTAATTTATTTGTTCTTATTTACTGATTACGTAATATCTATGTGATTTCAGTTTATTTTCATAATAACAGGTCTCAAAATACAAGTAGTATTCACAGAAAACAACATTGCCACAAAAAATTAAATAATTATAAAATAGCCACATTGGGACTACCGGTATGTCTCGTCTTGCGGCATTATAGCAATTTGACAGTTCAAATAACCCCACAAAGGCATACCATTTGAGAAAGTAAACACTCCATGGTATCTTATATAGCATATATTGTGCCTTAACCTGTTGCCATTTGTTTCACCAATTTATGTCACAATATGTGGTGAAAAACAAATATGGCATTTTTTACATACATGTTGCAATTTTGTTTGGTATTTTGTACATTTTTATATGTGCCTCTGTGATAAAATTCCCTCAAATTAGGAGTAAAACAATATCCCCAATGCATGAGCTAGACAATATTTTATGAAGTTACATTGCTGTATAAGATACTTGACCATTTCAAGTTTTTAAGTTAGAATTTTCATAGACGGGTCTGTGTTCCATTTTGGAGCATTTAAGCAGGTTGTTGATTCAAACTACCCCACAAAGGCTTACTTTTTCTTAAAGAAGATACCCCAGGGTATTTTGAATCATAGCATGGGTTCATTTTTGGCTAGTTTGTAACAAGTGTAGATGTAATAATGAGCTGGGGTACCAGCATTTTTTTTTTTTTTTTACAATGAGACTTATCTGATTTTGGCAGCCAGATAAAGCATTAACCCCATGATTGCTGCATGATTAACTTTAATTTTAGTACATGACAGACATTTGTGCGTCCTTAAAGGTAGGACTCTCATGTCAGAAAATTTCCATACTACATAGAAAAAGGGGTAATTTTACTATTCACCTCCCCCTCCCCCCCCATCCATGGGGTTTATAAAAATTTGAGTATCTTTTCCTCAGTTTTTCTATAGCTTTTATATCTTCCTTGGACAGGTTATGTTTATATTATGAAATCACTTTGATTTGTTCACCTCTCTCATAACTACTTCTTCAAATGCTGCCATAGAATTTGTTTTTAAAGTTTTGGGAAAAAAGTAGACTTATTCCTTAAAGGAAGGATAGGGTGAGGAATACAAACATGTAGTCCTGACCCTATAGTGTTAAAAGCACTATGTAGAAATCTTGTCCACTTTTAACTCCCTAAATATAGTCAAATCTTACTTTTTCTGAAAATTCTTTATTTTTTTAATAGTGCATTGCAGATATAACAGTGTGATATAACAGGCTTCTGCATGGCCTGGAGGTAGGGTCATGCCATGCTGCAGCAATGGTACCACAGCGGAAGTACACTGGCCACCATAGAGAACGAGAAGCCCTCTGCTTAGCAGAGAAGGGCTACTTTAGGAGCGCGGGAGGGGCCTCCTGCATCTGGTTCACTGGCAGCATGGACGTCAGTTGCTGGAGGATGCTGTTGATG